TCAACTCCATCATTCTTTGAGATGGGCAGTCTTTTCTAATTTTGTGTAAAGCGACTTGAAAATCTACAGGTCCCAGCCCTTTTACCCTCCTAAGTCACTCTTTCCGTACAGATAGACTGGAGGCATCACTGATCCAAAGTGGGATACAGTCTTCCAAATTCTCTCCTTCCTAGATGCCCCAAGAATCCTGGAAATGGATCTGTTTATTTAAGGATTTTATTGTTAGTCACCATAGAGAAGTAATAATAAGTAATAAAAATAGGAAAGACAGGTAGAGTTCAAAATCTTGTTTTTTTAACTCTTAAAAATTTTTTTTTAATATATTGACAAACTACCACATGCAGCCTACATATATTGGACATGATTATGTGCCAGGCTCTGTACTAGGACCTTGACACTCGTGAGAAGGCACAAAGTTGGCTGTTTCAGAGTGTGGACAGGAGTAAAAGAGTGTTCGTTAATCTCAACTCTAACAGCAATCATCTGGCAACCTGATCGCCCCTCTGTTTTAGTTTAACCATCTTCAAAATTGAGGCAGAAATAGTATCTACTTCACGGCCTTGTGGAAATGAATGAGGAAAATGTGAAATGTCTGTCGTATAATAATTATTCAATTCATGCTGAGTGTTATTAACGTCCTCAACAAGTCTTAGAGTAAACGTATAGATAAATAAATTAAAAGCAAGCCAAGTGCCACAAGGGGCCTCATAGAAGACTGCACAGGGGTCAGTGGGGCAAAACAAAGAGGAAATGGCCAACTCTAGCAGAGGTTGTTAAGAGAGAATTCTTAGAGGAAGCAACGACTGAGCTTCATCTTGAGAGTTGAGTAGGAGTTTCCCAGATGAGAGAGGGGCAGGACGTCTTCCAGGCACAGAGAGCAGTTGAAGCAAAGGCACTGAGGCATGACAACTAGCATGTGTGTGGGGGGGAACCTCAAGCAGTTCAGTATGATTGGAACATGGGCTGGAGTGAGAGATGTGGCCCAAGCATGTAGATCACGGAGGGCCTATGCCTTTCCAGGGAGATCAGTGTTAATTTATAGAAAAGAGGGATATCTTTAAATGTCTTAAATAAGAAAGTAACCCAATACGTTTTTTGTTATAAGAATATCATTCTAACACAACATTGTAAATGACTATAACTCAGTAAAAAAAATATTTAAAAAGAGAATGTCATTCTGGCAGCCGTGTGACTGGATTACAGAAGGACAAGACTGGAAGTCAGCTCAGCCAGTTAGGCCAGGAAGCAGTGGGAACCACCTTCACAGGGCTTAAAGAAAAACCCTCAACCAAGACTCCTGTAGTCAACAAAGTTTACGTTTCAAAAATGAAGGCAAAATAAAGACATTCCCAGATCAACAAAATAGAGAATTTGTTGCTAGCATCTTCCTCATGAGAATTACTAAAGAAAGTTCAGGCTAAAAGCAGGTAACCCCAGTCAGTAATATGAATCCACATTAAAAAAAAAAAAAAAAAGAGCACCAGTAACTGTAATTATATAATTGTAAAAACAGATAAATGTATGTTTCTCTTCTTAACTGGTTTTAAAATTAGCTGTATAAACCTATATATATATATATATTTGTATCATTGGGCCTATAACATATAGAAAGATAATGTCAATAACATTTGTCAATAACAGCACAAAGGAAGTGGGTGGAAGCAGAATTGTATTAGGTTAAGGAAATGACACCAGATGGTAACTCAGATTCACAGGAACAAAAGGAGAGAGCTGGAAGTGGTAAATAGGAAGGTTAATGTATCAAAAACTGTAAATGTAGATATATTTCTCCTTTAGTCTCTCATCCTCTTTAGAAAACACTAAACTTTATAAAACGGTAATTACCGCAACGTATTTCGGGGATTTGTAACAGATACAGATGTAACGTGTATAACAAAAATACCACAAAAGGGGGGGGGGTAAGAACTAGAACTTTACAGGAATGTTTCTGTATCTCATTGGAAGTGAGTCAGTGTAAGTCTGAAGCAGATTATGGTAAGTTAAAACATATATGTAACACAACATTGTAAACTGACTATACTTCAATAAAAAACAAAAACAAACAAACAAAAATATACGGTATGCTCCATAGCAACCAAGAAGGAAATAACTTTTTTAAATGGAGTGAAAAAAACCATGAAAGAAATTTAAATGGCATGTTGGAATTTTTTTGCTCATGCAAAAGAAAGCATTAAGGAGGGAAAAAGGAACCAAAAAGACATGAGCTGTGTAGAAAACAAAAAGTAAAATAGCAGATATAAATCTAATTGTATCAATATTAAATGTGACTAGATGAAACAATCTAATCAATTGCAAAGACTGTCAGACTGGATAAAAAAGAAGATGCAATTGTATGCTATCTACAAGGGACACACTCTATCCAAAGGTACAAATAGACTAAAAGTAAAAGGATGGAAAAAATACATATGCAAATTGTATAAGCAACCTAAGAAAGCCAGGGTGGCTATGCTAATATCAGGCAAAATGGACTTTAATATAAAAAATATCACTAAGGATAGAGACATCTTACAGTGATAAAAGGATCACTCTACCAGGAATATAGGACAGCCTAACAGCAGGGCCCCAAATGCATGAAGCAAAACAAAACAAAACAAAGAAGCAGAGAGAAGACAACAACTGAAATAATCAGAGACTTCACTGCTTCACCTTCAATAACAGGCAGAACAACCAGACAACAAGATCCATTAGGAAGAGAAGACTTTTACAGGCTATCAACCAACCAGACCTAACAGATGTCTATGGAACACTTCACTCAGCAAAAGCAGACTACACGTTCTTCTCAAGTGCATGTGGCGCATTGTTCAGGATGGACCACATGTTAGGCCCCAGCACAAGCCTCAATAGACTTAAAATCATCGAAATCGTACAAAATATCTTCTCTGATCACAATGGAGAAAAGCTAGAAATCAATGCCAGAAGGAAAAAGGGGGAAATTTACCAACATGTGGACATTATACATCACACTCTCCAACAACCAGTGGGGCAAAGAAGAAATCGCAAGAGAAATTAGAAAATACTTAAGGATGAGTGAAAATGAAAACACAACGGATGAGGACTTACTGATGCAGTTAAGGCAGTGCTCAAAGGGAAGTTTATAGCTGTAAACGCTCAAGTTAAAAAAGAAGAAAGAACTGAAATCAGTAACTTAAGACACTGGGGAAAAGAGCAGATTAAACCTTAAGCAAGCAGGGAAAAGGAAATAATGAAGATGACAGTGGAAATGAATGAAGTAGAGAATATTTCAGCAATTTGAGAAAATCAGCAAAACTAAATTTGGTTCTTTGAAGAGATCGAGAAAATAGACAAACTTCTCCCTAAGCTGATCTAGTAAAAAAGAGAAGACTCAAATTACTAAAATCAGAAATGAAAGAGGGAACATTACTACCAACCTTACAGAAATAAAATGGATTATAGAGGAATGAACTATTGTATGCCAATAAATTAGAAAACTTAGAGGAAATGAACAAATTCCTGGAAAGATGCAAAGTGATCAAACTGAGTCAAGAAGAAACAGACAGCCTAAACAGAGCTGTAGCAAATGAAGAGGTTTAATTCACAGTTAAAAAGTGGTCCACAAAGAACAGCCCAGGCCTACATGGTTCACTGGTGAATTCTACCAGAACATTTAAAAAAGAATACTCAATTTTTCAAAAACTCTTCCCAAAAAATAGAAGAGGAAGGAATACTTCCCAACTTACTGTATGAGGCCAGCATTAACCTTATACGAAAATCAGAGAAAAGCATCAGAAGAAAGTAAAACTTCGGACCAATATCTCTTGTGAATATGGATGGAAAAATCCTCCAAAAAAAAAAAAGAAAAACTAGCAAACTAAATCCAGCAACATGTGAAAAGAATTACACACCATTACCAAGTGGGAATTTTTTTTCCAGGAATGCGAAGTTAGTTTATCATCTGAAAATCAGTTAATGTAATACACCATATCAACAGACTGAAAAAAATTTTTAAATGTATAACCATCTCAATAGATTCAGAAAAAGCATGTGACAAAATTCAACACTGTTGCATGATTAAAAAGCACTCAACAAATTAGGAATAACGGAAACTTTTTCAATCTAATAAAAGGCATCTGTGAAAGCCCACAGCTGATATCATACTGAGTGATGAAAGATTGGATGCTTTCCTCCTAAAATCAGAAACAAGACAAAAATTTCCATTCTCACCATTCCTGGCCAACATTTTACTGGAGGTTCTAGCCAGGACAGTTAAGCAGGAATGAATGATATAAAAGGCATCCAGATTGGAAAGAAAGTAAAACTGTCTTTCTTTCTATGTCATATTATCATTTATATAGAAAACCTAAGGAATACTCAAGAGGAAAAAACTGTTAGAACTAATAAATGAGTCCATCAAGTTTGCAAAGTGTGAGTTGAAAAAATCTATTGTATTTCTATACACTTCAATGAACAATGCAAAAAAACTGAAATTAAGAAAACAGTTCCACTTATAACAGCATCATGAAGAAAAACATACTTAGAAATAAATTTTAACAGAAGAAGTGGGGAACTTATAGTCTGAAAACTGTAGAACATTTTTGAAAGAAATTAAACAAGATCTAAACAGAAAGATATCTCATGTTCATGGATCAGAAGCCTTAATACCTTTGCTCCCCAAAGAGATCTACAGACCCAACAGAATCCGTCATCAGAATACCACTGGTTTCCTTGTAGAAATTGTCAAGCTGATCTTAAAATTGATATGGAAACTCATAAGACCAGAAGAGCCAAAATATGTTGAAAAGAAGAACAAAGTTGGAGAACTCAGATTTGCCAATTTCAAAACTTACTAGAAAGCAATAATCAAGACAGTGTCATACTAACATGAGGACAGACATCAATGAAATAAAACTAACAGTCCAAAACTAAACCCATAGATCTATGCTCAGTTGATTTTTGGCCAGGCTGCTAAGGCCATTGAATGGGGAAAGAATAAAATTAAGAAGTAAAACAAAATTAAAGGAGTAGACAGGAGCTCCAGTTTGTACATGTGTAGTTTGACATGCTGATGGGAACCAAAGGATGGAAATGTCTAGAAGAGAGTTGGACATACACATCTTGAACTCAGAGAATTCAGGCTGGAGAAATAAATTTGCATTTCATCACACAATCAGGTGGCAATTGAGATCATCAGTATTTTTCAACATTGTTACAAATTCTTTGTTCCAGAATTTTCTCAGAGTCACTTTCCTCATGGGGACCTGGTTCCTGACCCCTGTCTAGGATGGTACACGGCAGCTTCTGCCTCTTCTCCCTTCTCTTCATTCCTGACCACTCTCCTCCTGCCCTCTCTGGCTTAGATCATAAAGGCTCCTTCCTCCATGAAGGCCATGTGATTCCTGGCTAGAAGTGGGTTATTAACTTCAGAGGGGATTCCATTTCGCTAGAAGGGTCTCCTTGAAGAAACTTCCTGAAACTTATATCTTAGATATTTATCATTAAATACCCCTTTTTGCCACCCTTTCTCACATTTTCTTTAAGCAAATTTTAGCAGACTCAATTCTCCACTCAGTACTTCAAAGAAGGCAGAATGGAGCCAGCTTTGCCATTGACATATGTTAAAAATCATCACAATTGAAACACCAGAAATTCCTAACAAATCTAAGTTCTGAACATAAAATTAAACAACCTGCAGGCACCTTACCTAAACAGTCCCCAAGTCCTGAGCTTACAAAGGTGGAGACTAAGATAATATATATGAAAAACCGCATCAGGTATCTAAGGTAAGAGACAGTCTATATTGCTAGTAAAACTTAACTGTTAGCAATGATTTATTTAATGTCTATACCCACTCATCAATAGTAAGTGATGAAATAAATGCCTGTAAAGGTAATAGACACAGTTACAGGTCAGTCGTATTTTGTTGGTGTTTAGGTTTCACAAACAAGACCTCAGTGATGAGAAAATATATACAATGACTTTAGCATGTACCTAATATACATAGTATATATATTATAAGTCATTACGCCAACATTCTCTAGCCCTTCGATCTCCTTTTCTCAACCTTGCTTCCTGCTGCAAAATGTTATCCTAATGAAGTATGTTTAAAAGATTAGGTGAAGACTAAACTCCTCTATGACGTAGGGTCCTGGGTCAGATCTCTCAGCTTCATAACTAGCCAGTCAGTTAATTGTTCTTGGGGCCAAAATAAACTACAAACTCTTATAGCTTGGGCCAGCCCTTGATGTCTACATGTGCCAGGCATGTGTGTGTGTGTGTGTGTGTGTGTGTGTGTGTGTGCACGCGTGCACGTGTGTGAATTTCTCTCATCCTCAGAACTGCTGTTTGCCAGATAAGGAAACCAGGGCTCAGAGCTCAGATCACTTTCCCTGATCACAGCACCAACAGATAGCAGAGTCAGAGCTCAAACCCAGAGCCTTCTGACCACACAGGTTGTGCTCTTTGCTCTGGGACAGAAATGTTCAAATATCTGTCCAAAAATCAAGGGCTAGGTCATCACAGAGTTTTCATCAGTCCACAGAAAAATAAGAATAGCACAAGATTATAAACAGAGGAGGACATGGTCTGGGTCAGTATTATTGGCAAGAACCATCTTGTATTCTGAGATTATGTCCTTTCTGCCATTTTTGGAGTTAAAGTTTCTTTTGTTTGTGAAATGATCACGAAAATAGGTGGTAATTTATATTTTGATGGTTTGATGGTACTGTTGTTGCTTGGTAAAATGAAAAGTAGATAACTCTATGTTAATTATATAGGCCCAATTTACATGGTGTCTACCTAAGTGGTCCAAACAAAATACATGTTTTCATCTAACCTTAAAATGCTGATTTATGGGTCAGCCTGATACTTTGCAATAGGTTCTATTGAGAGTTATACTCTTTGGAAAGCAGTTATAGGTTAGGAGGCAAGAGGGCAGAGAGGGGTCATGTCAGAAAGACAGAGGGACTATTAATTACATAAACAGTAGAGGGGATGGAGGAAACAAACAATGACTTCACAACTTTACGGAAATTTCTGTATAGGCTTTTATAAATGTGATTGAAAAGTTAAAATTCTCAACTGGACATTGCTTCTTTAAAATTTCTTCTGAAATTTTCTTCCTATATAATCTTACTACCTTCAACATACTCTGAACAGATATATAAGATTTTAGATGGCATCTCCATCCACCTCAGCAAACTAAGCAGACAGATAAAAAGGGAAAGAGCTCTTTTTCAGATCTTTCTATTGGATTAACAGTCATCACTCCCCCCAACCTCTTTTTTTAATTGAAGTATAGTCAGTTACAATGAGTCGGTTTCTGGTGCACAGCACAGTGCCCCAGCCACACATATACACACATATTTTTGTGTTCATATTCTTTTTCATTAAAGGTCCTTACCATCATTTTCTCTTTAAAATGTATTCCTGTATTATTTAGTTTTCCTGTTCTCAGAAGAGCTCCTTCCTCTCTCCTTTCATACTTTCCAGATAATCTCCATCCAATTTAAACACACAAGCAGATCCCACCTTGTAATAGGCTTCCCTGCGGACAGTCTTTAGTCACTTGTTTGGAACTGAGAACACGTTTTTCCATAAAACAACAGAAGTGGTGATTAAGTTCCCAAAATCACTCAGAAATGCCTGTTTAACATACACAAAGGTACGGCAGAACTCTAATTACAAAAGCGCAGCTTTGAATCCTCTCTTCAGAGCAGACAAAAGAGGATAAAGACATGAGAGGCACCTCCCATTTTCCCTGAGCATACGGGTCACCATTAGGCAAAGAATTCAAAGTCAGTCATGCCCTGCAGCATCCACCACCACATGTCCCTCTAGATCTTGATACAGACAAGCCAAATGCCTCTTGCTCACTTTGTGCTTCCTTTTGCAACCCACTCCTCCAATATTTTAAGCTTTAGAATTACCTTCCTCACTTCCTCTAGTCCAAGCTTCCCCTGCTTCAATACAACTGTCTCAGGGAAGTGAGAGAAGAAAACCTAGGGAACAAAGATTAATATGTGAGCAACTCATACATATTTATTACGAAGGACCTAGATTTCAGGCACTGGAACAAAGTGAACAAAAGAAATCTAAGCCATGGGGGAGCCAATATGCCTGGCTGTCCTTTCTTCTTTCCCTCCAGTCCTTCCCTAACTCCAGTCCTGGCACCACTCCTACCAGCCCTTCTAAAAGTGTACAGGTGCCCTGTCCCCACACTCAGTATTAGCGCTTCTGATGATGACAAAATACAATAAACGGCTTCCATTTTTATTTGTGCTTCCAGTAGCTGATACAGCTCAGTTTTTCCCTTGGCCTACTGGAAGGTCCTAATGGCTCTCCTGGAAAGGGAGTTTGGACTTCCACTTCCGGGAGTTAGCTTCCGCTCTTGTCCTCAACGCTCCGTAAAGCAGCTCAACCAACTAGTCAATCTCAGCCTGCATTCTTCCTTCCCGGTGTTCGATCCTCCTCAGTGTTGTAAGAGATCTGTACCCTGGCCTGAGCACTCATTGCCCCATGAGAGGCATATTTCAGGAGAAGGTGGGTGTGATCTGCCCCCACAGGAAACTTCCCCAGTGGCCTGGGCACCAGGAGAAATTGTCTGACCTTTTGGTGGGAAAGGAGTGGGGAGTCCACCCTGGGAATGTCCCCACTGGGAGCTCTGTGCTGAGGAAAAAGGGACTTTCTCACACTTTAATGAAGTCTTCTGGAAGGGGAGAGAGTCAGCCCTGCCTACATGCTGAACTCGTACAAGTCATGCTGATTCAGACAAGTCCCAGCCTTTTTCACAAGGGGTAATTTAGACCACAAAGAGCTGTATTAACTAGTCTTTCGAGTTATCATTGCCGGTAGATGTGGATTCAGAAAAAGAAGCCTAAACTGCTATCCAGTCAGTTGTATGACCTTTCCGGGAAACAAAAGCAATTTAATTCAATGACAGTGATTCAGAAGGCAAGGGCTCAAGATTTTCTTCCTTCTCGTTTATCTGTTGGCCATTCACACAGTTATTCATTCATTCACTGTTTGCTCAGTCCTCCTACACGGGGACATAGCAAGAAGCTCATTGGTAAAAGCCCCTGTGATGGGTTTGCAGCTGTTTGGTGAGCCCAGAAATTCATACGTGGAAAAGTGAGAAAGAGAGAAATGACAGCAGTAAATAAAGCACTGAAAATGTATGGAGAGCTCCCTTTGAAAGGCAATCATGTTTAAGTTATAGAAATTTGATGCTATAATATATGAATAACTAATTCTAAACAATCTATCTGGAAATTTTTTAGAGAATGTCTAGAGCAAATGACTCCCAAACTAGTGGTCCCGGAATCTTTGCAACCTGGGAGTGTAATGATAGAGTTTGTATGTGTGTGTGAGTGTGTGTATGTGTGTATGTGAGAAAGAGAGACAGAGACAGAGAGACAGGGGAACAGAGAGAGGTCCAAAGTAAGCCATCTGTCAGCCTGGCTAAATATGCCTGACCAGCACAGTGTCCTCTTACTGATATTACTTATGAAATAATCCTTCTTCCAGCTACGATGAACGAAAAAGGAAAATGGAAAAAGACTATCCAAAGATCACCGAAGAAGAATTTTCAGGAGTTAATGGCCAAATAGATGCTGCAGTAGAATTAAATGGTGAGTGTTTCTACTGAAACCTTTCTTTGTGGAAATTGTAACAAGAAAGCTGGGCTGTGCTTTAACATCGCAGAAAATAGGTTTTCACACGGAAGTCCTTGGTTCTTACTCTTTTTTGGCCCTGAGTCCCTGATAAATTTAGCTAATCAGATGAACCACTAGGAGGGTAGAAAAGGTCTGCCTTTGCGGTTCTTCCTTTACAAATCGGAAGTTTTTAAGGTATGGCTCAGTCCTCCAGTCAGCTACGTCATAAAGTCCACCCACTCAAAACTACCTTTTCATCTTTAAAATGCACATGCTCTCAGCCTTCCCAGTTCCTTTCCCCACTCCATCACCCAGCTTCTGAAATCTACCACACAACTGGGAACACTGAATTGCATCGAACGAGGTTGAATAAATTTAACGGAATCGTTTGAATCAGTCAGTCAACACATTCTTCTCGAGTCTGTTGCCCAGAACTGGGCATGGTTCAGAAATGCAAAGACAGTTCCAGATACGGTCTCTGCTCTTGTGGAATGATTACTATCTTTGGGAAATGCCCCTCCATCCAACACAGATGAAGTAACTGGGAAACAAGACAGTCTATAATTTAGTATTGCGTTATGTGGTAGTCGTCACCATGATTGCAAGAGGTCATCTGAAAAAGGAAAAAATCGAAGAGGCATGGGTACTTGCAGACATCACGGTAGGACTTCAGCTGAGGTTTAAGGAACAGTTAAAGGTTTGTCGGGGGAGGGGACTTCCTGGAGGGGTACAGCCTGAGCAGAAGCACCGAATACCCCAGGCAGGAACAGGGAGAGAGACGAGAGATGATTGACAAGTTAGGGGTGTCAGGTTCTTAGAGCTCAGTGAGGACTGTGCACAGGACTAGCTAACTGCCTCCTGCCACGTTCCCCACTGCCCTCGGTGCCACCTCAAGAAAGTTACAGTTACAAGCCCTCCCTGTTGTAAGCTTGCAGGTCGTTTTCAGTAACCGCAATGTCAACTTTGTCTCTTTCAGGCAACATTTACTTCTTTTCAGGACCAAAAGCGTACAAGTATGACACAGAGAAGGAAGATGTGGTTAGTGTGCTGAGAGCTGGTTCCTGGGTCGGTTGCTGAATGGAAAAGCCTCGTCTTTCCTAAGGAATGAAGGTGACTGAGAACAGCTGGCAACTGGATCTTAAGGACTAAAGCAGAATGCAGGTTAGGGATCCTTCCCGTGGTCTTTAATTCTAAGGGTAATTTAGAGTTCATTGAAAACGATGATGCTTCTAGACTGTTTCATAGTTATGGATTCAGAATTTTAATCCAAATGAAAAACTCCTATATGGTCAACTTTACACAAAATCAAAATCAACACAATACACTTTTCAGTGAGACACCCGTTGTGTTTTTTCTTACCTAATATACTGAAGCAAATTGCTTAAGTCTGGTTTTTATTTCCAGGAAGAAGCCTACTTGTGGATTCTCTGACATGTATTATAATTCTTTTAATAGGATATGTCATTACCATACAAATTATAATTATTCTTTGCAAGTCGTGGCCTTTTTGGTCGTAACATTTGTTACGATGAATATAAATGTATCCGTCTTTACTTTTACCGCATCACAAACAACACGCTGTAGATGTTTTGTGTCTTGTTACTTGTTTGTTTGTTCGACTCTACGTGTACTTGCTGGTCTTTGAAGTACGTTGAAGTGGGCAAACCTACTCAAATGGATTTTCATCCTAGGTAAGAGATGGGCACTTTGCAGCAGGAAAACTTTTAACAAAAGCCAATAAAAATGTTGTATAAGAACAGTTCCTCATTTCTCTTTAGTTAATCTTTACTAGCTTCTGTCACGCTTTGGCAACAAACCCTGTGTCCCTCTGGAAAACGCAGACCTTGAGATAGTATTGTGAGTATGCAGAGCCAGAAGAAAGATCAGTAATTCACTCTATTTCCTGTTTCCTGTTAATAAAATACCGTCAGTGAAACTGTCTTTAACCCATCCAACTGAGTCTCTGCTGAATAGCTTTCCATTTAGGGAAGTTTGCCTTTTCTTTTAGTTTTTCCTCCTTCAAGCTAAACCTTTTTTTTTTTCCCTACCTAGTCATCAGTGCAGATAAAATACAGCTGTCTGTCATTTTTTATATATATATTTTTAAATCTTACCTTCTAGAATGTAAGGATTCGAAACCATTTGAGTAGGTCTAAAATTAGATGATGAAATACGTTTAGCACACTTCATAGGCTGCCTGGAACGTCTATAGTATTCAGCTTTTGTTAGCCATGATTATTACCATCATTTATTAAATTTGTTTCATACACTCACAAAAAAAAAGATTTAGTATTAAGAAGGGATGAGGCAGTTACTTAAGGTTACTCAAGCTTTCCATTTGGTTTCTGAAAGTAGCTGTTCACAGCCAATCAGATGCTGAAGCTTTGACTGTTGAAGACAGAATCTAGTACCCCTGCTACCCAATATCCACTGACTCTGCAGAGTAAGAAAAATCACTTTTGCAAAGACAAATACCCACACAAAACGTGCACACTAATGTTCACAGCAACGTTATTCATAACAGCCAAAAAATCGAGACATGTCTATCAAAGGATGAATGGAGCCTTAAAATCTGGTAAATTCATACATTGGGGTATGATTTGGCAACTTAAAAAAAGGACTAATACATGCAACCACGTGGATGAACCTCGCAGACATCACACCAAGTGGAAAAAGCCAAACACAGAAGGCCACGTGTTGAATGATTCTATTTATATGAAATGTTCAGAACAGGAAAACCCAGAGACACAACAAGCTGACCGACCACTGCTGGTCCAGGGCTGCAGGAGGGGGGACGGGATGCGACTGCTGATGGGTATGTTACGCGGAAAGTAAGAGTTGCATGAATCTGTGAATATACTGAAAGCCATTAAGTTGTACACTTTAAATGGATGAATTGTATGGTGTGTGAATTCTATCTCAATAAACCTGTTATATTTTTGAAATAATAAGCCAGGCGATCAAGGTGGTGTGACGATCTGTGCAGACCACGTGGCAGGGACCACGCGGCAATGACGCGGCCTGAGGACGTCTGGTGCTGAGCGCAAGCAGCCGGATGTCCTTCATGTGTCCGGGGCTGACCCAGGCCCATGTCCATCGGAGACACTTTACTAAACAAATGAGTGTTACTGGATGCGAAAAAAACGCATGTCCTCTAAGGCCGACCTGACTGAAGTCAAACCCCAGATCTGCTGTTTTTAGCTACGTGATGTTGGTCAGCTTCCCTAATTTTTGTCTTCGTTTCCCGCTTTGTAAAATTACAATAAGAATAATTCTTACCTCCCAAGGCTATTTAGAGGCTTAAATACATAAGTAAGAATATACAGAATTCTATGCATAGTCCCTGGTACCTTTTAGGGGCTCTATAATTGTTGTTTTTGAAGCAATTAGAATTCATTTTGGTTTGAAATCTTTTGGAGAATTTGTATATATTCCTTGAGATAGCGGAGCTCTCTCACACAAGGATTGATAATCGGTGACCTGACATTTTTCTTTTTGAAATCCCCAATTAAATCAACAATCAACCCTCATACCCCAGAAATAACTCTTACAAATCCTTATTCCTTTGTCGAGCAAGAGTACTGGCTTCCGGAGATCGCTGTATATATTTTGAAAAGTTACAATGTCTCTAAAGCACAAGAAATCGTGATTTTGTTTGCGTCAGAACCCAATCAGAACATCGGTATGCTCATCTGAAGCAGGAATTTTGCGTGGAAAGAATTTATAACACATGCTCCTCGCTTGGCTTCCAAATATCAGTGCAAAAATACTTGGCTAACTAATGGTTTTGAACGAAGTGTGGTTCAACTGCTTCTTCTGAGAGCAGGAGGAAGCAGAACAGAGTTTTGTTCCCTGATGACCTCTGGGTACTGTCCTGTTAACCTCACTGATGACTATTTCTGAGTGGCCTCGGAGAGCACGGGAAAGGCTACTAATGGACAGATGGATTCACCTGGGTGGGGAGCAGACCTAATAGCTCCACATTAAATTCCCGGTGGCTGGAACCCAGCGCTCTAACAGTTAGCCTGGTGTGCAGTGGCACAGCCAACTCCGTTAGGGCCTCTGTTCTTTTTCAAATGTTTATTTGGAAACACCTGAGACTTTCATTTCACACAGTAGTTGACAAACGAACGATGTAGTTTTTTTATTTGAAATTATGTGTGATATGTTTAAAACTTATCACAGGGTCTTCACGTGCTCTCATTTATATATCATCCGGGTGTTTCCTCTTTACTCCTGCTTTTAGTCATTTCCTTCTATATACAATGATAGTGAAGGGTTTTTTGTGGTTTTTTAGTGAATATTTATAGCTAAAATTACCCAGTGCAGTGCCATTTGAGAGGAAATGCATAATGCTTGGCAACAGGCTGGAATCTTAGGCTCCCATAATGGATCATAGACAAGTCTAGGCCAAAAGACTCTGTGTTTCTCTCCAATAGACCTGAATGGGTCTGACCAGCATCCTCTGATAATCTTCCAGCTCCTGAGCCTGTCTTTAGTCTCATTCTCATCCCCAAGTGCTTTGTTAACATGGCGAGACTAAAGGCGAGACTAAATTGTACCCAAAATGCCACAATCCCTGCTTTCATCTCACCACCTAGACTCTTTTTTTTTTTAATTTTTTTTTATTGAGTTAGAGTCAGTTTACAATGTTGTGTCAATTTTCACCATAGACTCTTGAAAGTGAAATAGAGCAGAATCGGGAAGCCTGCTGGTGAATAAATTAGAATAGGAACTGAGTGAGCAACTTTGAGGTCCAAAAGAAGACTCTCCTAATGCACGTAATCCTCATTTTAGTCTCGTCTTCCTGCATTCTAACCCAACATACCTTCTTTTAATTCAGTATATCGTTTTAAAATTAAGCTGCTGTTGTACAATGCAGCATGTCATTCCCACAAGGGTGGGGGGAAGAGATCCGAAAAGAAAAGGATGGAAGGATGAAAAATCAGTTGCAAAAGACCAACTGAGAAATGAAACATTTTAAATCCATTTTAGATCCTCTGCTGTGGGGGCAGAAAAAAGCATGTCTGTATAAATAGTTAGCAATTTGTTTATTCTTTGAAAATCCCAAGCCTGTAATGCAATGTAAATAATGTGAGTTTTTTAAAACATTGGTTTAATTTTTAGAGAAGTGTTATACAGATTTCAGCAAGTAAAATATTTCAATGCTTTAAAAAAATAATGTGAGCTTCTGAGGGTGGGGAGTAAGTGTGTTCACAGGTACTTCTATGGAGGTTGGAATGTCAGAAGTCCTGTTAGGGCACATTCCGCAGGAATCGTGGGCTGCCCAATGACTGTAGTGTGTCACTGTACTTAACTTTAGGCATATTTCCATATATGAACTGGCAATTTCTGGAAGTTAATAATTTTTCGACAGTTTACCTTGAAAGACTTCATTCTTTCCCTAAAATAGTTTTCTCTACACAAATAATTTAGCTTCTTTGAAGACTCTAGCCATCCCACCAACATTGTCAGTATTCATTCTTTTTTTTTAATAAGTCTTTTATTTTAGAATAGTTTTATATTTACAAAAAATTGCAGATAGTATGGAGAGCTTTCATTTACTTCACACCTGGTTTCTTCTATTTTATTTTTAATTTAGCCCTTCTCACCCCCTTTCCTCCCTAGTAACCATTAAGTTTGTTCTCTATGTCTCTGAGTTTGTTTCTGTTTTGTTAATAAGTTCATTTGTGTCTTTTTTTTTTTTTTAGATTCCAGATAGAGAGAGAAATCTGGGAATCAGAGAGAGCCTTCAAATGGTTATCTACAACCCTTTGAGCCCCCACCCTGACAGATTACCATGAAACTTGGGGGGAAAATGGATTATAAAAGCGTAAAAGGGGAGATAAAAATAATCTCAAGTTTTTAATCACCATCCAGTGCTCAGTCTACTAGTCCATTCTTCTTCCCCTCTTCAAGAACATGGTTTAATTTTCAATAAGAGTTTTTGAGATTTTGCAGGGTCTTTTCCTTCAGTTTTTCCATTTCTAGGTACAAAAATCCTAAAGAATAAATCACAAAAGATAACGTAAAATCTTAAGGATTGTTCTTCTGGAAGAAAGTTGTTAGTAATCTAGAAATTTGTTAAAAAGGGTAGAAGAACTTTCAAGATTTAAAAAAAAAATTGTGTTTTCTAAAGGGAAGAAATTAACTACTTGATTGAGAGCACGTGGCCCCCAGACCGTCTGGCCCCTAGGGGTTGATGGTGTTGATCACCCTGTTACCTCCACATCCACCAATCAGCCTCCTCCCTTACCTGATCTTTTAACATCCTTTAATGAAGCCCTTCAGTGAGTTTGGGGTTTTGTTGAGCATGAGCCACCCCATCCTTGGTCAGCACTGAAATAAACCTTTCTCTGCGCAGAAAAAAAAATTTAATTTTTAAAATGTATTTTGTTCTTATAGTGAAAACACTTCTATCTGTAATCTTACCAACCTTTACAGAGAAAGTGACTAGCAAGTTCTCTACTGCATTCTTCTGTCTTTGCCTGAAAATGAGTCACTGTGTCTCTACCTCAATCAAGACCTTCCCCAGTACCCACATCAGCCTTCAAGGCAACAATTACGCTGTGAACCTCCAACCAGCCACCAGTGGAGCTCACATCAGAAGGGCCAGTCTCGCTCTCCGGGGGGGTAGGATGAGTCCCAGAGTTGTACGTTCTCTCCCGCCTGACCCCGTGTGTGCAGCCAAGCCCCTGTCTCAGGGTTCTTTCCCAGCACAAGGGTTCCTAACCCTACTTTGAACCCCAGATCACTTGGCTGGTATCCTGGAATTATATTCAGCACAATGGTTTTTCAAACATCATTGTGAGAGAGGTGATTACGCAGGCTTGCTGACCCCGGCTGACTAACAGCAAGGGAAAGAAAGGGCCAGGCTGTTGAAAACCAGGCTGTTTCTCTTATCTGGTGGTGGCTCCTTGGTTCCAAGGACATAGCCATACAACAAGACATTTTATGTTCCACAACTGCTGCATCGATTCCAAGGACACACCCCAGTATCTCTTTCTTTGTTCTCTTTTTCCTGCTGAAGTTTCTGTTTTAGGGCTAAGCTCTGCGGGAGGAAAGAGCCAGCAACAGGAGATGACTGGAACCACCAGCCTGGAGATAACATTGGCAAAGCCATCCAGTGAAAGATGCCACGGCCAGATCTGGGCTTGGAGCTGTCTCGACCAGCTTTCTGGCTGATGGCTCCCCGCTTCATGTCTTCTTTTCTGCTTTTTTCCCCTTCTCTCTTTGATTAATAAAGCAGCTCCTTTTTTTTTTTTTTCCTTCACTTTGTCCCTCTGCCTCTACTGAGAATGATTTCTCAGTCAGCTGGGAAGGACCCACACATTTAGCAGGAGCTTCCCCTGTTTGGTGGGCTATGCAATTCGGGGGTCTCTATCCAGTAACAGTTGTGCACCTCATCTGCTTTGAGACTCACGGTTAAACTGAGAGAGATTGCTTCCGCTGTCACACAGGTGAGACCAGTACAGACGGTAAAACCAATCTAGCTAATTGCT